TGTCAACACAACGAAAATTAAGCTTCCAAAATAACAATTACTATATACCAGGAGATTCTTCATAAGTATATTATGTCAGAAATAGTAACTTAAATATTGTTAACTTAAATATTGCCTTATTTCCTATCTAGTGGATCCAAAGACTATAAATGCAGATAGGAACTTACAACAGAGCCAATAGCTACTAATTAGAATGTAAGCAGTCAAACGTGTGCATCAATAACCTTTTCAAAACTATGTCAGTTTGGGGATTTTAGTATATCTATTGTCTTTATTTATTTATTTATTTATTTATTTGCAGCTTTTATATTCCGCCCTTCTCACCCCGCAGAGGACTCAGGGCGGATTACAGTGTACACCTATATGGCAAACATTCAATGCCAATTTTTGACATACAAGCATATACAGACATACACAGAGGCTATTTAACTTTTTTCTGGCCGCCAGGGGCGCTGTCGCTTTCATCGTCCATCTGAGACGCTGATGAAGCACTTCCGCATTCCCCGCATGCTTCCCCGCTGGAATGCTTTGCTGGAGTCTTCGTTATGGCCTCATAAATCAGTTAATTTAGCCTCCCCACACTTTAAGGTGGTACCTTATTTTCCTACTTGACAGATGCAACTGTCTTTCGGATTGCTAAGGTCGACAACAGGCTACACATAATTGGTTGGAAACCCACTCCAACCCGGGCTAGCTTCAAACTCATGACCTTTTTGGTCAGAGTGATCTTAATGCAGCTGACACTCAGCCAGCTGCGCCACAATCCCGGTGCTTTATGTTGCTTTATTTCTTATTTAGTGAATTCAAGCATCATAGATAAGAATAACACCCAAAGAAGATATTACAAAAATATGCTTGTTGTTATTGCTTTTGTTATTGATGTGTTGTGGGCTCGCCTCATGTAAGCTGCACCGAGTCCCTTGGGGAGAAGGTAGCGGGGTATAAATAAAGTATTATTATTATTATTATTATTATTATTATTATTATTACAAGGGAAACAACCCAGGAGACCTTGTTGTGTTACTGTTCCTGACATTATGTTTTGATGAAGAACCTTCTATGACATAGAAATTGTTATTTTGGAAGCTGAAATCTCATTATATTGCATTTAACAATATTTGAGTTACTATTTCTGACGTCATGTACTTATGAAGAATCTCCTGGTATAGAGTAATTGTTATTGTGGAAGCTTAAGTTTCATTGTGTTGACAAAATATTGATAAACAATCTTTCATTTATAAACAGTTACTAATTAATCGTGTTAATGTTCCCACGTTACGTTTAATGAAGAATTTCCTTTGATATAGAAATTGTGATTTGCAATCTGCAGTTTTTGTATTTGTTGTTATAGATATCTGTGCATGTTACACATTGTGAAATAATTGCCTACATGTCTTGGAGACGGTTCCCAAATCCACCACTGTTTAACATATATATCTCTCCAAGACACTACCTGGTGATCATATGGTACACAATATTTTTAATAATTCTGTGCACAAAACCTGCATGTGCGTCGAACCATCAGCGAACAGCCGTCTCACTATCTCATCCACCCATGCAGACCTATTTTGGAGCATTTCGGATTCCTGGATCAGGGACTTGTTTGAGCCTAGTGTAATTTCTGATTTAGCATATTGAAGAAAGCAGCCGCACTATTGAATTTTTCTTGTTCATAAAGGAAAAATATGCACCCGGGAAACAGCAACGGGGATATATTCTCGGTCTGTGCATTAGAGAGGTTCTCCATCGAAGCGTGCCAGGAAATGGAAACCTTTGGCAAGAGGCCCAGATTTGGCTTTTAGAGTCAGAAAGAAGGCAAGAAAAGAGCAAGACAGCAAACCACCTCGCCTTTGAACTGTGACAGCCATTGCCTTTCATATTGGGATGTATTGAATACATTCACTTCTCATCCAGAGGCTTAAAAACCTCCACCGTCTACTCTGTAGAATAGCGTTTCTCGACCTGGGGGTTGGGACCCCGGGGGAGAGAAGTCCCGAGGAAATTTCCGAGGGGTTGCCAAAGACCATCAGAAAACATATATTTCTGATCATAGAATCATAGAATCATAGAATCAAAGAGTTGGAAGAGACCTCATGGGCCATCCAGTCCAACCCCCTGCCAAAAAGCAGGAATATTGCATTCAAATCACCCCGACAGATGGCCATCCAGCCTCTGTTTAAAAGCTTCCAAAGAAGGAGCCTCCACCACACGGGGCAGAGAGTTCCACTGCTGAATGGCTCTCACAGTCAGGAAGTTCTTCCTCATGTTCAGATGGAATCTCCTCTCTTGTAGTTTGAAGCCATTGTTTCGTGTCCTAGTCTCCAGGGAAGCAGAAAACAAGCTTGCTCCCTCCTCCCTGTGGCTTCCTCTCACATATTTATACATGGCTATCATGTCTCCTCTCAGCCTTCTCTTCTTCAGGCTAAACATGCCCAGCTCCTTTAAGCCGCTCCTCATAGGGCTTGTTCTCCAGACCCTTGATCATTTTAGTCGCCCTCCTCTGGACACATTCCAGCTTGTCAATATCTCTCTTGAATTGTGGTGCCCAGAATTGGACACAATATTCCAGGTGTGGTCTAACCAGAGCAGAATAGAGGGTAGCATTACTTCCCTAGATCTAGACACTATGCTCCTATTAATGCAGGCCAAAATCCCATTGGCTTTTTTTGCCGCCACAGTGGCATCCTCCCACCAAAAGCCCTTCTCTGCTGTGATTGGCTGGCCTCTCAGCCAAGGGGAGGGCTATTTCTGAGACTTCAGGTGGGGTGGGGGGAGAGCAGGCATGCTTCGCACATGACAGCGTGGTGCACATGTGCGGGCGAGGGAGAGCAGGCAAGGCTGGAGAGAGGCTTGTACCAGTGAGTCTCTTAAAGGCATGGAAAGTTGGGAAGTCTGGCCCAATTCTATCACTTGTGGGGTTCAGAATTCTATTTGGTTGTAGGTGAACTATAAATCCCAGCAACTACAACTCCCAAATGTCGAGGTCCATTTTCCTCAAGCTCCACATTTAAGCATATTGAGTATTTGTGCCAAGTTTGGTCGAGATCTTTCATTGTTTGAGTCCACAGTGCTCTCTGGATGTAAGTGAACTACAACTTTAAAACTCAAGGTCCATGCCCACCAAACCCTTCCAGTTTTTTTTGTTGGTCATGCGAGTTCCGTGTGCCCAGTTTGGTTCACTTGAAAAACTGCACGTCGCTTCTTTTTTTAAAAATTATATATGTTTATTTTAATACATACACAACATTTATAGTTCCCACCACCATGAGGATTGTTTTCTTTTACATATTAATCCTTTTTGAGATTAACCTTATAAATTAACATACTATATAACATTTGTATCCTATTTCTTTCTTTCTTTTTCTTAAATATTTTAAATATTTTTTAAATTAATTATTTGACATAATCTCATATATAATCAGAAAATATACATTCAGAAATACTGGAACATGTCTAGATCTGTATGTAGACAGCAACTTGTACAAAGTAAGTATAACATATTATACCATTCACTCGAGTTTAAGACACTTTCAAAGGAAAATCCATGCAAACTATTCCTAACTAGAACTGTGTCTATCTAGCTAGCAGCAATAGTGTCATCAGCTACTCCCACCCCCATATCATATGCAAAAAAAAAAAAAATTAAATGCCAATGTATTTGGGGGGGGGGGGATTCCTTGCAAGGCAAGAAATGTATCTTCATGATCAAGATGGTTTCAGAGTATGTCCAAATACATCTTGATATTACATCAATAAAAAAGAAAACAAGAATGGGAGAAGGCAACACAGTACCTCTTATGACTAGAGCTTTCTGACTATTTTACATACACAGGCATGGACAACTGCAAAAACCCAACTTGTGTAAATTGAAGGATGTCCAAAACCATAATCAAATGTTTCATTAACATTATGCCAACATATATAACTTTTCCAGGAATCTCTTTTTTCTATTGTATAGCATTTCAGCTTGTTCACATAGTATTACATATTTCTTTTTATTTATTTATTTTAATTCTTTCCCTTCTCTTTTCTTTTTCCCCCTTTTTCTCCCTTCCTTTTCTTTTCTTGAAAACAATACCTAAACATCCACATAATATTCACATCTCAGGAGTTCCACCATAACACATATACCATGGAAAAGAAAGTCACACCAAAAGAGCAACAAAGGATTCCTCATCATTTCTTTCTTCAGAAGGAAGTCAAACTATTTGATGAAAATCAGGATTTTGTATTAGTCAGTCTTGGAATCCCCATGCCTTTTGATTTAGGTTAACTATAAATTCCAGCAACCACAATGTCCAAATGACAAAATCAATCCTCAACCCCACCCTGCAATCCCACCAGTATTCAAATTCGAGTGTATTGGGTATTTGTGCCAAATTTGGTTCAGTAAATGAAAATAAACCCTGCATATCAGATATTTACATTACGATTCATAACAATAGAAAAATTACAGCTATGAAGTAGCAACGAAAATAATTTTATGGTTGGGGGTCACCACAACATGAGGAACGGTATTATTAATTAATAATAATAATAATAATAATAATAATAATAATAATATACCCCGCCACCATCTCCTCCAATGGGGACTCGGGGCAGCTTACATGAGGCCAAGCCTGAACAACAAATTACAATAAAATAAGATGCAAATTGCAATAAAATAAACAACATAGCATTAAAGTATAAAACATGTAAGCATATAAACAATATACACAAAACATAAAGAGAAGTTAAAAAAGCATTACACCAAACAAAATGACAGTGAGCGGGTCATTAAGGTGTTGCAGCATTAGGAAGATTGAGAACAACTGCTGTAGAAGGAATGCCTTTGGATTGATATGGCTCAATGCAATGAAATCTTGGGAGTTGTGGTTTTACAAGATCTTTCACCTTCTTTCCTAGGATTCCATTGCATTGAGCCACGACCGTTCCGAGTGGTGTCCAACTGCATTCATTCTACAGCGTCAATGCGATGTCTTTCCCACACTACAACTCACGTTTGGTTTTCCAGTGGCAATGAAGGGTCAACCCGCTCGGCCACCACAAGGCCCTGTTCAGGGCTCTGGGACCGTCCAAACTTGGAAACACCGGCTGGATGCTTTGGTGGGCGCCAACGCTCTTTGGAAGACACCGAAGAGGTCCGCTCCCATTCTGGGCTCTCAAATTGCACTGCATTTTGGATAGAAGGGGAAGCAGGTGGGAGAGAAGAAGAGGAGACAACATCAGAAGGGCAACAAAAAGGCCTTTGAGTGCGTCGTAGAGTATGGTTCCTAGCATTCCAGTAGTCCAACAAGTCACAGTTGTTGGACTACTGTGAGGGCTGTACTTTGTAGGAAAAATTTTGATCCCTTACCTACATGACACCTTACTCAAAATCTTGTTTTTCCCTGAAATTGTTGACAGAATGAACTGATTGACATTTGATCTAGGACAAACTGCAAGGCAAGATTGTGTAAATTACTGAATCCGATGAGACAGGTAATGTAAATAGCTATGACATTTGGCTTACTAGATAGTACATATATGACTTGGATCATGGAACATCTCATCTGATTTAATGTTTAATATGAGTTGTAGACAACTGTACACATTTAAGGATTGCATTAGTTAGTAAAATTCCCTTGTTAGATTAGCCTTCTGCGCATGCTTGTGAAATGCTATAACTGTGCTTGTAAAATGCTAGGGAGGTGACAGTTTATTTTACTCAACGTGAGTTGATCTGTCACCCTATTTTGCAAAAAGTAAAGTATTGAAATCCAATCAGCTTTCCCTCTCTTCCTTCGGTCGCACTCAAAACAAATGTAATAGGCAGATTTCTCCAACACTACAACTCCCACCATTCTTTACCCTTGGCTAAGGGTAACTAGTGCTGATGGGACCTGCAGTCTGTTCAGAGGAGGATACTGTATTGATTTGTATCACTGATGGGAATAGTGGAGCCTGCCAGATGCTGTTGGACTGCACCTCCCAGCATTCCTTGCCCTTAGCTGTGATGGCTAAGACTTACAATCTTTCCAGAGGAGGATACTGTATTGATTCGTATGGAATAATAGTAATTTATTTATTTATTTTTGTCATGTCAGGAGCAACTTCAGAAACTGCAAGTTGCTTCTGGTGTGAGAGAATTGACCGTCTGCAAGGATGTTGCCCAGGGAACGCCCGGATGTTTTGATGTTTTACCATCCTTGTGAGAGGCTTCTCTCATGTCCTTGCAATGTGGAGCTGGAGCTGATAGAGGGAGCTCATCCACGCTCCTCCCGGATTCGAACCTGCGACCTGTCAGTCTTCAGTCCTGCCAGCACAGGTGTTTAACCGGGATTGTGGCGCTGCTGGCTGAGTGTCAGCTGCATTAAGATCACTCTGACCAAAAGGTCATGAGTTCGAAGCCAGCCCGGGTTGGAGTGGGTTTCCAACCAATTGTGTGTAGCCTGTTGTCGACCTTTGCAACCCGAAAGACAGTTGCATCTGTCAAGTAGGAAAATTAGGTACCACCTTAAAAAATGTGGGGAGGCTAAATTAACTGATTTATTAGGCCATAAAGAAGACTCCAGCAAAGCATTCCAGCGGGGAAGCATGCGGGGAATGCGGAAGTGCCTCATCAGCGTCGCAGATGGATGATGAAAGCGACAGCTCCCCTGGCAGCCAGAAAAAGTTAAATAGCCTCTGTGTATGTCTGTATATGTTTTTATGTCAAAAATTGGCATTGAATGTTTGCCATATATGTGTACACTGTAATCCGCCCTGAGTCCCTTGCGGGGTGAGAAGGGCGGAATATAAAAGCTGTAAATAAATAAATAAATAAATAAATGAACCCACTGCGCCACCGGGGGCTTCTAGTAATAGTAATAATACTAATAAATCTTTATTTATATCCCACTTTTCTCCTTCATGGGATCCAAAGCGGCTTACAGCATATCAGTATAATACAAACAACAGTCTGAACACATATATTCAGACCAATAAGACAATAAATAAAATATAAAATAAAATTCTAGGTACAATTCCATTTTAATAGTGATATCTTGTAGGCTTTAAATTATGCTGTGAGCCGCTTTGAGTCTCATTTAAGAGAGGAAAACGGGGCATAAATCTAAAAACAACAACAACATGCCAGACTCCAACCTTGCATGCAGCCCAACAGTCATGAATGTAACAAACACAGGAGTAGAGAGAAATCGAAATGCAAGAGAAATGAATAGGTGGGCAAGGAAAGAGAGTTAGGACACAGCTTGGGAATTTAGTTTTAAAAGTAATTGGCTTTAGGCAGGAGAGAAAAAAGGCAGTCTTCCCCATGTTGTTCAATTGCAACTCCCATCAGCCCCAGCTAATATAGCAAATGCTAACACAGTGGTAGCTGATGGTTTTCATCTCAAGGTGCCAGTGTCCCGTCCCTCCCCACCATATTTTTCATATTTTTTAAGCAGTTCAGGCTGCTGGACTTCTTTTGGGATTGTCGGTGTTTTAGATAGATGATTGCATAAGTTAGTTTAAAAACCCATGCTGCCAGCCATGAACTAGCTGGAATGTGAAGAGCATGTGAAGACCAGAAAGGACGCGAGACAACATGTCACTACCATAGGCTGGGCTTGGATTAATGAGCTGATAAGGAACAATATAAAATGCTCTCTCTTTCGAGGATCACCTCTGCTGAGTAAGTTTGATTCTGTTGTAAATTGTTGAAATATAAATAAAAATAAGGTCGCTCAGTTGGAGCAGAAACTTTTGCTGCCAGTTTATTTGACAAACACCAGTGCTTTGGCTGAATAATTACCATGACAATGATTATGGGCCCAGCACGCTTCCCCTCTGCAAATCTGCATCCCAAAGGAGCACTCCAAGGAGCTGAAGCCTATCTCCAGAACAGGCTCAACATTTAGGACAACTCTTTGCAACTTCAGTAATTGGATAGTTCTTTTGTGGTGGGTTCACAAAGGGGTTCAGCACTTTGCAGAGCTCCTTTGGGATGTCACCCCAAAAGAGGTCCAGCAGCTTGAACTGCATAAAAGTAGATTCTCTGCGTAAAGGAATTGGGAAGAAGGAGAAGAAAATGATCCAAGTGCAGAAGGGTCTCAAGCCAAAGGGATGTAGGGAAGGGTTCAAAAGAAGTCATCACCTTCTGGATCTAGGGTTTCCCCACTCTCCGTGAGTTGTCCTACCGGTGGTGGCCAGGGCAAGACTTTAGTCTCCTTAATGTCTACTGCAGCAGCGGTGGAGGAAGCAGGGAGAGAAAGAGGTCGAGGAGAAGGCGTGGGATGGCAGAAGAGTGAGTGAAAGTCCACAAGAAAGGAAAGAAGTGAGTAACAGAGGAAAAGAAGGGGGAGACAAAACCAACATGGTGAGAAAAAAGAAAAGATCTCATGGCAGACAGACAGACAGATGAAGGAAGGCAATGACATCCATATCTAACTGGTGCTCCTTACAGGGAGCGGTCAACCCTCCTGTTTAAGGAGTTCCACTGGCTGCCATTCATTTTCCGGTCCCAATTCAAGGTGCAGGTTCTTACCTACAAAGCCCTGAATGGTTTGGGACCCGCCTACCTGCGTGACCCCATCTCTATATATGAACCCACACAATCTCTTCGATCATCTGGAGAGGCCCTGCTCATGCTCCCGCCTCTTTCGCAGGTGCGATTGGTGGGGACGAGGGACAGGGCCTTCTCAGTGGTGGCCCCTCGACTCTGGAACTCACTTTCCAGAGACATCAGACATGCCCCAACTCTGGCAGTCTTTAAGAGGAGCTTGAAAATGTGGTTGTTCCAGTGTGCCTTCCCAGAATAAGGAAAACTCTCAGCATTATGTCCTCAAAATGCACTTTACTGCTGCCTTAGGATTGACTGCATTCCCTCGTTCTCTCTAAAAATCCTATCCCAATTATATCCTACCTGGTTCACATCAGCACTGTTTTTTTAATTTTAATTTATCACATTTGGCCCCGCCTTTGGTTTTAAATGTTTATATGTTACTGTTGATTGCTTTTGTCTATTTTGTTCATGTGATTATGATTTATATTGCATTGTTTTGTTTATTGATGTTTTATTTTATTGATGTTCTGTTTATTGATGTATTGTGGCCTTGGCTTCATGTAAGCCGCACCGAGTCCCCTGGGGAGATGGTAGCGGGGTACAAATAAAGTGTTGTTGTTGTTATTATTATTATTATTATTATTATTTCCACTCTGGGATTTATTCCAGACTTTAGAGGAGTCTCCTTCTCTGGGGGTTTTGAAAAAGAGGCTGGATAGCCATCTGTCAGGAGGGCTCGAGTTGTGTCTTGAAGGGGGTGGACTGGATAGCTCATGGGGTCCCTTCTAACTTTAGGATTCTATGGATGGCCACTACTGTCAGTCCTCTGCATTCACTTGGGTTTGGTGCACAGGAGTCCATAAAAGTGAAAAATTGCCAATATTACATGAAATAATATTTCTCTAGGAGTTTCTTGCTATGTATAACAACAACAACAACAACTTTATTCTTATAGCCTGTCTCCATCTCCCCGAAGGGACTCAGGGCAACTTACATGGGGACCAAGCTCAGAATAAACAGAGAATTCAAAGTACAAAAATTAAAATACATAGCAAAACAACAAGAGTCATACAATTAAAACCCAGAATGTAACAGCATCATCAAAACACAACAATCATGACCAAAAAATTGAAAAGCTGGCATAATCTGATTTGCGAAGAAAGGGTAGGGCTTGTGCAAAAATGCAGGATAATAGGACCAGAGCTGGGAATAAAGTGCTGGAGAACCAGAACAACAAATAAATAAAGGCTGGAAAGGGATGGTTGCAAGCTAAACTATTATTCAAAGGCACGTTGGAATATCAAATTTTTCAAGTCTTTACAGAATGTGGACAAGGTGGAGGCGAATCTGATTTCCCTGGGGAGAGAGTTCCAGAGCCGGGGTTGAGACACCACTGAGAAGGCCCTCTCCCTCGTCCCCACCAACCGTGCTTGTGGTGAAGGCGGGAGTGAGAGGAGGGTCTCCTCAGGAGATCTTAGAGCCCGCGCTGGGTTATAGAGGGAGATACAATCGCGAAGATAAGCAGGACCCAAACTGTTTAGGGCTTTATAGGTAATAACCTATAAGATCTACCAACCAAAAAGTTGCCAGTTCGAAGCCCCAGGTTGGCATGAGCTCCCAACTTTCAGCCCAGCTTACTGTTGACCTAAGCCATTCGAAAACAGTTTGAGCTGTAAGTAGAGAAATTAGGTACCGCTAAAACGAGTGGGGGAGGCATTTTATGATACCATAAAGAAAAAGATCAGAAAAGGATCTTTTTGTGACCAAAAGGAAGGAGGAAATCCTGATGGCTCTTCGTCATAGAGTATGAAGTGACAGTCCCCCTCTGTGGCTGAATTCAAACACAACCTCCAAGGCATCAAAAAGCTGGATGTCGACACAACATACCTCCTTTCTGTTTTGTCTGTCTCTATCCTGTCTATCCAATACAGCATTGAATGTTTCCTGTGTATGTGTACTGTGATCTGCCCTGAGTACTCTTGGGGAGATAGAGCGGAATATAAATAAAGTGTTATTATTTGAATTGGGACTGGAAACTTATCGGCAGCCAGTAGAGCTGCTTCAATAGCGGTGTTGTATGCTCCCTGTAACTAGCTCCCGTTAACAACCTGGTCGGCAACCTTTGCACCAGCTGCAATTTTCATGCCGTCTTCAAAGGCAGCCCCACGTAGTAGTCCAATCTAGATATAACCAAGGCGTGGACCACCATGGCCAAGTCAGACTTCTCGAGGTACGCACAAGTTTTAACTGTGCAAAGGCCTTCCTGGCTACCACCGACACTTGAGCATCAAGTGTCAGCGCTCAGTCCAGGATCACCCCCCCCCACCCGAATGTGGACCTGTGTCCTCAGGGAAAGTGCAACCCCACTGAGCAGAGGTTGCCACCCTAGACCTCAATCGACTCCACGATGGACCTCTGACTTGTCTGGAGTAAGCTTCAGCATGGCATTGGTCCAGGATCCAGGAGGCTTCCTTGGAGTTAGGTGGAAAAGAGTAGTAGAGTTGAGTGTCATCTACATAGAGATGGCACCCAACTCCAAAACTCTGGATGACCTCTCCCAGTGTTTTCAGGTAGATGTTGAAAAGCATGGGAGACAGAATGGAACTTTGCGGGACCCCACAGGTCAAAGGCCAGGGATCTGAGTAGGTACCTCCTAGCTTCACCAATTGGGTGTGACCCTCCAGGAGGGAGCAGAGCCACTGCAGCGCAATGCTCCCAACACCTGAGAGCCACCCCAGAAGGAGACCATGGTCAATGGTATCAAAAGCCACTGAGATGTCCAGGAGAACCAACAAGGACACACTCCCCCTGTTGAGCTCTCTGTGGAGGTCATCTACCAAGACGACCAAAGCCGTCTCCGTACTGTGACCAGGTCTGTATCTTGTTGGATGCATTTTAATGGTGTTTTTGCTCTTGTTTTAACAATGTTGTCTCCTGCCTCAAGCCACAGGAAATGTATTATTCCACTTCATCACATTTACTAAATTCAACTGAGTCCTACACTTCAGAAGTGGTAACCCACTGTGTTCACCACACTAGGTTGGGTTCAAGTATAAGTTAGAGCATTCTTTCCATGTCTAAAGCGTTTGGGAACAGATATCTTTTCATACATTTTGAGCGCTGGTTGGGAAGTGGATTTTTGGGGAATGATCAAAAAATATCAAATTCTGTAATGTGATGGCATTCATTGTTCTCAGGTTTAAAATGATACGTTTACCCAATTTGTGGAAATGCTCCTCTGAAGAAAAGGGAGGGAGGAGAGGGGGGTGGCCTCCGGGTGTTCCTTTAACAGGTCTCCCCCAGTCCAACCCCATTCTGTCTTCTTGACCACAAATGGACCATAGATGATGGGATTTGCAGTACTTTCACTTGCTTTGGATCTGTCTTCAACAGGACCCCTACAAATGACCATCCTGGACTAAAAATGGCACAGAGAAGCCCCATGACCAATTGAACATACTGCAGGGGTTTTGGGGGAATTGACCTTGATTTTGGGGGGTTGTAGTTCAACTGCATCCAGAGATACTGGGATCCCCACTGACAGTAGACCGGGACCAAACTAGACACAGAGAACCCCCATGACCAACTGAACATACTGCAGGGGTTTGTGGGGAGTTGACATTGATTTCAGGGAGTTGTAGTTCACCTGCATCCAGAGATCCTGGGACCCCTACCGACAATAGATCAGGACCAAGCTAGGCACAGAGAACCCCCATGACCAACTGAACATACTGCAAGGGTTTGGGGCAAATTTACTTTGATTTTAGGGAGTTGTAGTTCACCCACATACAGAGAGCACTGAACCCAGCTGATGTTGGGTCTGGACTAAACTTTAAGCACAAACCCAACAGGCGGGATTTGGTGATGACTGACCTTGGGATATGGAAATTGTAGTTCATCCACATCCTTATGCATTTCCTAATGGGAGCATTCATAAATAACAAAAGGACAGACCGTTTTTTCCCCTAATAAATCGTGTTAACAAATTACCAAAATGTTATCACTAAACATCAAAAAAACCCAAAATATGCCCTTTTCAAATAACCTGGGCATTGCCAGATCCCCAAGCTAGTATATAATAAAAGTGTTTACCCCAAGAAAGTGTTTCCAACACATTCCAAGGCAGCATATTCTTACTATTTTATGCACTCGACCCTTCATACCCCAAAGAAGTGCGTTTTTAAACTCTAAAGCTGGAAAGAAGTGGGGGGAAACCTACATCTCCCTAACCTCATTGCATGCAATGCCCACCATAAGATTTCAAAGAGAGGAGGGTTTTTTCCAACAAAGAACATGAGGGAGGGACAGTGGGTGGATGGGGCCAAATCCCTACTGTGTGGAAGCAAATCAGCTGAAGACTACTGAGTACAACTGAGTAACACGGATAGATTTAACAGGGTGATGAAGGTAGGAACATCCATTTGATTTCAAAACGGAGTATGACTGAGCTTTAAGGATTTCATCATATTGAAGAAGGGAAGTGTTTGGTAGAGTAGAGCTCAGTTTCAAAATGAAATGGATGATTTCCCTACCTTCATCACATTGTTAACTCTATCCGTGTTACTCAGTTGTACTCAGCATTCTTTCAGTTCATTTGCCATCACACTGTAATCGCTAGGCACCATGCACCATCCTTCCCCTCCTCTCTTTGAAATGTTAGCTGTTACATGTCTTCAATTCCGGAAGCAAGGAAGCAGGGAGGGAGGGAGGAAAAAGTCAATGCTCCCCACCCTCTCTCTCCTGTCCCACAGAGAAGGGTGTGGACCTTGGAAATCCCAGGACCATAGTATGGAAGTATGGTAAATACTATGGTAAATCTGCACTGTGAAATGAAAGCAGCTGGACCTTACTTTAAATAAGGTAAGGTCCAGCTGCCTTCATTTCACAGTGCAGATGCACTCAGAGAAGGGTGGATACATGGCATTTAAAGTAAGATCAAACTGCATTCATTCCACAATGTAGATGCACCCAGAAAAGGGTATGGACCGTGGGAAACTATAACTCCCAGGAGGACTCCATAGTATGGAGCCATGGCATTTAAAGTGGAATGCAAGGACATTCATTCCATACTGTAAGTGCACCAAAATAAGGATATGGACCTTGGAAAACTATGACTGCCAGGACTGTACAGCATGTAGACATGGCATAATAATAATAATAATAATAATAATAATAATAATAATAATAATAATAATAATTACATTTAAAGTAAAATCTTAGTGAGCAAAAGGTAATGGCAGAACTTTTCCTAACCAGGGTATTTTGGCTCCTCCCACAATTTCCCCTCTCACAAATTGGGTAAATGTTTCATTATAAACCTGGGAGCAACAAATGCCATCACATTACAGAATTGGCTAAAGATCCAGATAATTGCCAAAAATCCACTTCCCCACCACTTTCTGAAACGTTTGGAAACAATGTTGACCCCCACACTTAAAATACACAAAGAATGTTCAAGCCTACACTTGAACCCAAGCTAATCTGATGAACGCAGTAGCTTCCCACATTTTAAGTGTAGCACTCAGTGGGATTTAGGAAATGGGTTGAAGTGGTATGATAAACATACTCTACCAAACACTTCCCTGCTTCAATGTGATGAAGTGGGCTGTTGTTGTTGCTGTTGTTGCTGTTGTTATAGCATGATTCTATAGTCAACTTCTGCTGAGCGCTGCACATGGACTCGCACTGGAGGAGCTAAAGATTCCATCTTTAAGGGATTATGCAAATAACCAAAACCGCAAACGTGGAGGGATGACATAGGTTCAGCATCTTGGAGAGCTCCTTTGGGCCATTCCTTTAAAATCTAGGACAACAGCCGCATGGGTTCACCCCAATTCTGACATGGACAGCATCACTGATAAGAGACCTGCGGGAAAGACACATACCTGCAAAAGCGCGAGAGATGTGGTTCTTCTTCCACTCCCACGGCTGGTCGTATTCGTCCGCTGGCCGCTCGTCGTCCTGCGGCAAGCGGCTCTCGCGGGGCTTCTCCAGGGACAAGTCATCCGGGTCCACCTCCGCTTCCTTCTCTTCATAAGGAGTGTCATACAGCTGCAAACCAATCCGGGATTTCTTCACCCGCCGCTCGTCCCAGTTGCTTTTGCGCTGGAAATCTGGGGGCCAATTCAAGAGGAGATTGAGCCTCTGCGCTGGGGCAGGTTACACAACCAACAATAACGGAGGAAATGTAGTGTAGTGGCTACAAAGGTGTTTATGATCAAGTCAGGGGGTGCTGTCGTTCTTAACTTTGAATACGTTTTAATGGATTTTAACTGGATTTTAAAATATTTATTTATTTATTTATTTATTTACTGTGTTTGTATACCGCCTTTCTCAGCCTGTCGGCGACTCAAGGCGGTTTCCAACAAAACAGTATATACAGTATCATAAACAATTTAAAAACATTACAATTACATAAACCACAACAGCAATAAAAACAACATCATTGGCGTTTCCTTATTATCAAGCATTGTCCAGTTCCATCGTCAATCGTCAATTTCCTATATCATTTATCCATATCCGTTACTCTGTATTTGTAAACGCTTGCTCAAACAGCCACATTTTGACTTGCTTCCGAAACGTTAGAAGGGAGGGAGCAGATCTAATCTCTCTAGGGAGGGCGTTCCATAGCCAGGGGGCCACCCATGAGAAGGCCCTGTCTCTCATCCCCGCCAAACGTACCTGAGACGAAGGCGGGACCGAGAGCAAAGCCTCTCCGGATGATCTCAAGGTTCTAGAGGGGAGATACGTTCGGACAGGTAAAATACTGTTTATATTTAATTCTGTTTCAATGTTTTCATATTTGTACATAGTAGAGTCTCGCTTATCCAACATAAACGGGCCGGCAGAATGTTGGATCAACTAAAATGTTGGATAATAAGGAGGGATTAAGGAACAGCCTATTAAATGTCAAATTACGTTATGATTTTACAAATTAAGCACCAACACATCATGTTTTACAACAAATTGACAGAAAAAGCAGTTCAATGCACAGTCATGTTATGTAGTAATTACAATATTTATGAATTTAGCACCAAAACATCACAATGTATTGAAACAGCTGTGGATCCAGGCGGGAGGCAGACTGAGTTGGATAATACAGAATGTTGGATGAGCGAAGGTTGGATAAGCGAGACTCTACTGTATTTTAAATTGTATGCTAATGTTTTTATGTTAAGCCACTTTGAGTCTCCTTCGGGGAGATAAAGCGGGGTATAAACAGAACAACAACGTTGAGTCATGGTTACAGTCCAGGACTGAGGCTTGACCATCTGTGGGGAGTGCTTTGATTGTGTTTTCTTACCAGGCAGAAAGGGTTTCAACTGGATGATCTAGAAAAGAGTCAGAAGGCAGACCAGGGTATGGGATTACAGGCTGTGTTGGACGGGGTCACACTCCCTTTGAAGACACAAGTCTGCAGTCTGGGGGTGATCCTGGACTCGTTGCTGACTCTGTAACCCCAGGTGTCAGCGGTGGCCAGGAGCACCTTCGCACAATTAAAACTTGTGCACCTGCTGTGCTCGTCCCTTGAGATGCCAGATCTGGCCACGGTAGTCCACGCCTTGGTCACACCCCGTTTGGACTACTGCAATGCTCTCTAGGTGGGGCTGCCTTTGAAGACAGTTCGGAAGCTGCAACTGGTTCAGAGATCAGCAGCCAGGCTACTAAAGAGCACCGTACAGGGATCAGACAACTCCACTGGCTGCACATCTGCTTCCGGGCTAAATACAAATTGCTGGTCATTACCTATAAAGCCCTAAATGGTTTGAGTCCAGACTATTTGAAAGACTGCATCTTTGTATACAAACCAACAAGAGTGCTGCGGTCAGCTGAGGAGGCTCTCCTCTCAGTCCCACCCCCGTCTCAAGCACGGTTGGTGGGAACGACAGAGAGGGCCTTCTCCATGATTGCGCCTCACCTCTGGAACTCCCTTCCTAAAGAATTAAAAATGGCCTCCTCTCGCATCTCTTTTAAAAAGCTATTAAAAACACAGAGAACCCTTGATGTCTCTTCCAACACTGGGATTCTATCATCTTATCCATCTATATGTATGTACATATCTATCTATCTATCTATCTATCTATCTATCTATCTATCTATTCATACATCCATCTATCTATTGATCTTTCTATCTATCTCTTAGGGGGTTGCAACAGAGAGCCCTTGGGGTTTCTTTCAACATTGGGATTCTATCATCTTATCCATCTGTATCTATCTGTCTATCTATCTATCTATCTATCTATCTATCTATCTATCTATCTATCTATCTATCTATCTTTCCTTCCATCCATCCATCCATCCATCCATCTATCTATCTATCTATCTATCTATCCATCGATCTTTCTATCTATCTATCTCATAGGGGGTTGAAGCAGAGAACTCTTGGGATATCTTCCAACATTGGGATGCTATCACCTTATCTGTATGTATGTATGAATGTATTTATCTATATCTCTCTCTATCTATTCATCCATCCTTCCATCCATCCATCAATCTTTCTATCTGTATCTTAGGGGGTTGCAGCGGAGAGCCCTTGGCGTCTCTTCCAACTTTAGGATTCTATTGTATCTATTTATCTATCTATCTCATATCTATCTATTGGGATTGAGGTTCCTTTCCACTCTAGAATTCTATGGTTCTAGTAGCAGGCTTCTGGATGATAGTGCCACCAATGCGATTTCAAGAAAAGCTTCTAACTGAGATGCCAAAATCCGAAGCCGGGTCTTTTGCCATCTCCAGCTGATAAATCTATCCCTTAAGAACCAAATAGGATTTCAGTCGCCAATGTTGTCCTTGCTGAAGTTGCAATTGGAATGCATTTTAGTTCGGCTTCAGTTGCCAGAGAGGGAAAAGGGATTTCCTTTTGTCACCTGTATATCTCTAGTGTGCTATTTACGGATCATCCGCTCATTTACCTGCCACCACTTTCTGGGCCTCGTACGGCTCCATGTATCCATTATTCTCGGCAGCCACCTCCTCCTCGCCATCTTCTTTGGCCTCCCGTTGCGCGTCAAATGGATCCGAGTATTCGCTCTCTCCGGGGGGCTGCGGAAAGGGGAGAGTTTGGATTTATCAAAAGAGGGGTCTTAAAAAGTCATTGCATATAGATAGAAAGGGAGATGAACAAATAGACAGAAACAAACAGAAACAGAGAAAGAGAGAGAGACAGAAGGGAAGACAGAGAGGTTGCTTTAATCTAGGATAGCTTCTGTTTCCAATTTCATTCTCCAAGAGAGACAAAGAGACAGATAAAAAATACAAAGAGACAAAACAGATGGATGGAGGGGAGAAAAGAGAGAGAGAGATTCTGTCTTTCTCCCAAAATGCATGTTGCATAGCTTAAAAGCAACCATGACTTTTTAAAAACCCAAACAGAATACAATAATTAAAACACAGCTATAGCATCACCACTAATTTAAGACATACTGTAAGTACTCGAGTATAAGTCGAGATTTTCAGGCCTTTTTTAGGCTGAAAAAGCTCCCCTTGGCTTATATTTGAGTCAAGGTTATTTATTATTTTACTCTGTTATTAGTAATATTTTATTATAACTATTATTTTACTCTACTTATTATTATTACATTTATTATTTTACTCTACTTATTATTATTATTACATTTATTATTTTACTCTATTTATTATTATTATTATTATTATTATTACATATATTATTTTCTCTGTTATTGTTATTATTACATTTATTATTTTACTCTTTATTATTTTACTCTATTTATTATTGTTGTTATTACATTTCCATTATTTTACACTACTGTTATTATTATTTTTATTACATTTATTATTTTGCTCGCTTTTTATTATTATTGGAAGGATACGTAAGCACATTTACATTGACGAAGGTTAGAATAATGGTTTATTTATTTATTTATTGAAAAAACCATCACTGGACCCCACTCAATTTGTCAACTATCGGCCAGTTTCCAATCTCCCCTATTTGGGCTGGCCTCGCAACTCCAGGATTTCTTGGAGGACACTGATTATCTGGATCTGGCGCAGTCTGGCTTTAGGCCGGGACATGGTACTGAGACAGCCTTGGTCGCCTTAGTGGATGATCTTCGCCGGGAACTAGACAGGGGGAGTGTGTCCCTGTTGGTTCTGCTGGACCTCTCTTCGGCCTTTGATACCATCGACCATGGTATCCTCCTGGGACGCCTCGCGGGAATGGGCCTTGGGGGTACTGCTTTGTAGTGACTCCGGTCCTTCCTTGAGGGTTGCTCCCAGAAGGTGTAATTAGGGGACTCCTGCTCGACCCCGCGGCCATTGTACTGTGGGGTCCGACAGGGCTCAGTATTGTCCCCTATGTTGTTCGACATATACATGAAGCCGTTGGGAGAGATCATCCAGAGTTTCGGGGTGCAGTGTCATCTGTACGCAGATGATGTCCAACTCTGTTACTCCTTCCCACCTGCTACTAAGGAGGCTGTTCAAGTCCTGAACCGGTGCTTGGCCGCTGTAACAGACTGGATGAGGGACAACAGATTGAAACTAAATCCAGACAAGGCAGAGGTACTCCTGGTCAGTCGAAAGGCCGAACAGGTCATAGGGTTACAGCCTGTGCTTGACGGGGTTACACTCCCCTTGAAGGCGCAGGTTCGCAGCTTGGGAATGATTCTGGACTCATCACTGAGCCTGGAACCCCAGGTCTCAGCGGTGGTCAGGGGAGCTTTTGCACAATTAAAACTTGCATGCCAGCCTCGCCCGTACCTTGGGAAGTCTGACTTGGCCACGATGGTCCACGCTCTGGTTACATCCCGTATAGAGTACTGCAACGCTCTCTACGTGGGGTTGCCTCTGAAGACTGCCCAGAAGCTACAACTAGTCCAATGAGCGGTAGCCAGACTACTAACAGGAGCGGGGTACAGGGAGCATACGACTCCTCTGTTGCGTCAGCTCCACTGGCTGCCAGTCAGCTTCCGAGCACAATTCAAAGTGCTGGTGTTGACCTATAAATCCCTAAACGGTTCCAGCCCAATTTACCTGTTTGAACGGGATTCTCCCCTATGAACCATCAAGGTTGTTAAGATCTTCTGGAGGGGCCCTGCTCTCGGTCCCACCTCTTTCGCAATCGAGCTTGGTGGGAACGAGGGACAGGGCCTTCTCGGTGGTGGCCCCTCAGCTCTGGAACCCCCCCCCCCAATGGAGATTAGATCTGCCTCTTCCCTCCTAACTTTTAGAAAGCTGGTAAAATCATGGCAGTATAGTTAATTTTGCACAGGGGCGCTCTTGAGGCACTCTTGGGGGAAAATAGACCTTGACATATGCGAGTTGTAGTTACTGGGATGTATAGTTCACCTAAAATCAAAAAGCATTCTGAACTCCACCAAAGATGGAATTGAACCAAGCATGGCACACAGAACTTCCATGACGAACAGAAAATCATAGAATCAAAGAGTTGGAAGAGACCTCATGGGCCATCGAGTCCAACCCCCTGACAATAAGCAGGAATATTGCATTCAAAGCACCCCTGACAGATGGCCATCCAGCCTCTGTTTAAAAGCTTCCAAAGAAGGAGCCTCCACCACACTCCACAACATATATATATATATATGAATGAATGAATGAATGATTGGTTGCGGGGGGAGGGTGCCAAAATACTGTTTGCTTACCATTGAAAATTACCTAGGGCCGCCTCTGTTTGGGAGTTGTAGTTGATGGGATTTATAGTTCACCTATAATCAAAGAGCATTCTGAACCCCACCAACGAGAGAATTGGGCCAAACTTCCCACACAGAACCCCCATGACCAACATACTCTTTGATTCTATGATTCTATGACACCCCCACGTGACCCCCCCCCCTCAGTCCCAACCCCAGGTTGAGAAACACTGGTGTTGAGAGAGCTTTAGAAAGTTCCTTTCAGCCCCAGAATAAACTTTCAAGCAGACTTGGCGTTCCCCTGCCTCAGAAACTATCAGCTTCTCTGCTGTAAATATCAGGAAAAACGAAATGCAAAGATACAGAATGGGGGATGCCTGGCTCGAGAGCAGTACGTGTGAAAAAGATCTTGGAGTCCTCGTGGACAACAAGTTAAACATGAGCCAACAATGTGATGTGGCGGCAAAAAAAGCCAATGGGATTTTGGCCTGCATCAATAGGAGCATAGTGTCTAGATCTAGGGAAGTAATGCTCCCCCTCTATTCCGCTTTGGTTAGACCACACCTGGAATATTGTGTCCAATTCTGGGCACCACAATTCAAGAGAGATATTGACAAGCTGGAATGTGTCCAGAGGAGAGCGACTAAAATGATAAAAGGTCTGGAGAACAAGCCCTATGAGGAGCGGCTAAGGAGCTGGGCATGTTTAGCCTGAAGAAGAGAAGGCTGAGAGGAGATATGATAGCCATGTATAAATATGTGAGAGGAAGCCACAGGGAGGAGGGAGCAAGCTTGTTTTCTGCTTCCCTGGAGACTAGGACGCGGAACAATGGCTTCAAACTACAAGAAAGGAGATTCCATCTGGACATGAGGAAGAACTTCCTGACTGTGAGAGCCGTTCAGCAGTGGAACTCTCTGCCCCGGAGTGTGGTGGAGGCTCCTTCTTTGGAAGCTTTTAAACAGAGGCTGGATGGCCATCTGTCAGGGGTGATTTGAATGCAATATTCCTGCTTCTTGGCAGAATGGGGTTGGACTGGATGGCCCACGAGGTCTCTTCCAACTCTTTGATTCTATGATTCTATGACACCCCCACGTGACCCCCCCCCCTCAGTCCCAACCCCAGGTTGAGAAACACTGGTGTTGAGAGAGCTTTAGAAAGTTCCTTTCAGCCCCAGAATAAACTTTCAAGCAGACTCGGTGTTCCCCTGCCTTGGAAACTATCAGCGTCTCTGCTGTAAATATTTAAGAACATCCAGCAAAATGTTTAGCCTTTGAATGTCAAAACTATGGAAGGGGGAGGAGGAACTCTCCCCACTGGGCTGACGAACGAAAGCAACTCTTTGGCTTGATGAGACCAGACAGGGCTGCAGGAGGCATTGTGGCCTCAGGTGGCTTTCCTGCAACCAGGCCATTAGTCAATCTGGGCTCAGACCTTTCTATCAAACCCTCCCTTCCTTTGGGACCACAACTAGCCCTCCGATCATCTTCTTTTGCTGATGCTGGAAAGAAAGGCTGAGTCGGCTCTCTCTTTCCTCCCTGGAGGACCCTCTCCTTCCCATCTCTCTCCTGAAGTGTTCTCCTTCTGCCCTAATTGCGGCTGTCCTCCCATTTCTCTCTCTGTCTCTCTCGATCTGATGGTGCATTAGATGCGCTCAAGCGCCCGCAGAGAGGGAAACATGTTTAGAGAAGCCAAAGACGTGTATGGAAATAAGCAAGCGGCCTCTTCTCCAAGCAATTACCCCTTTCTTTCCCCTTTGGCGCCTGGCAATTGAGTGGCACGGAAAGGTAGGTGTGCAATGGAGGGTCCTGAAATGAGGAGACGAAGAGGGCTCCCCCATCGCTTGCCATCATTTAAGTAGAACTTACTAAGCATTATCCACCACTGCATAAAATCTGGCTTTCGACTATAACCATAGATGACGGCATTTGAATATAAGCATAGCAGACGGCATTCTAATATAACCATAGAAGATGCCATTCGAATATTACCATAGAAGACGGCATTTGGATTTTTTATTTATCATGTCAGAAGCGAATTGTGAATACAGTTATAATGTATTTAAAAACATAAACAAAGTTAAAAACTTGGCATGATACTAAATGTCCTTTGGCCAGAGGATGGCCACTTGGAGTGCCTCTTGTGTCGCTGTGAGAAGGTCCTCCATTTTGCATGTGGCAGGGCTCAGACTGCACTGTAGTAGGTGGTCTGTGGTTTGCTCTTCTCCACATTCATATGTTGTGGACTTTGCTTTGTAGCCCCATTACTTAAGGGTGGCTCTGCATCTCGTGGTGCCAGAATGCAGTCTGTTCAGCACCTTACAAGTCACCCCGTATTCTGTGTGCCCAGGAGGGAGTTTCTCATTTGGTTTCAGCCATGGATTGAGGTTTTGCAAGATACTCCACTTTGGCAGGAAAAACGAAATGCAAAGATACA